CTCTCTCTCTCTCTCTCTCTCTCTCTCTCTCTCTCTCTCTCTCCCTCTCATTCTGTAGCTCCAGCTGGCTTCTCCTGCCTCTGCGCGCCGGTGCACAGGTGTGATGCACCATTCTCCGCTCCCCCATAGCAGGCCTTGTTGGATCTGGTCACTGGTGGAATCGCATCTAAATCTTACAGGGCACTCACTGGGGGGTTGGGAGGACCATCACAAGATGGTCCCCTGCCTCCAGGCCTTTGGCAGCAGACTGGGACAACTGAGGCAACCAACCTTGTGGACTGAGCAACTCTGGGTTCTCAGCCTGTCCAGTGTGAGAGACACTGTGGAGCTACCCAGCCTGTACCATGTAAGCCGATCTAGTGACTCCCGTTTCCATGTATATCCATGCTATTGCTTCTGGCTTCTCCAGAGAACCTCAACTAACAGACCAGGCAACGGCTCAGGCTTTGAGCCACACTACAGCCCCTGCACTGAGTTTGGGAGAGTCTCTTCTTCACCTCATGAGGCGGGTCAAGAAATAAGGCCCGTTGAGGGTCATCTTTCCCCAGATTAGCCCTACTTGTCATGTATTCCCCGTTCTAACCTTTGGGACAAACACTTGGAAAGCTTTTGTGACATGGGACATTGAAATGAGCCCTTTCTCTGTCTTCATGAGGAATTTCTCTGTATACAGCCCCGTGAGATCATCTGTGTCCGTGACTGTGTTCAGGCTTCCATACTGAAGATGAATGTTGTACCAGGCTGGCCCTAGCAGGCCCTGCCCTGGACTCCTCCTCTGGTGCCCCCCCCAGTGATGGCCTCCCAGGGTGCTTTGGTTGTCTGATCTCCAAAATTCACCCCCAAATTCACCACCCCTCAATTTTTTCCCAACCATTCATCATCCCCTCCTTCCTCCAAAACACTGGTCTCAAGTTAGGTGGGAAGGGTGAGCAGAACCTTTTATTTTGCAGACAGGTGATAGCATGTGGCAGGTGAAGGGCAAAACAAAGTCAGGCCAAGTGTGAATGTTCAACAGGCCTGGCATTTGTCTTTCCATCCACAATCAAGGCACTTGTCTTTTTCACTTTCTTTATTGGTGATGAGGGGTCTGGGGATGAGAGAGGCACATTTAAAGGAGCTTGCTCATCTATCCTCTAAGAAAAGCCAGGAGAAATCTCTTTTCAGGGATCGCCATGGCAGACTAGGTGCCAAGTTATTCGCTCTCCGCTCATCTATAAAATATTTAGGAGCACGGAGTGCGTTCGTGGCTTCATTTGCCTGGTTTGCAGAAGGAAAACTCAGGGGGCTTTGCTGCTGAATGCAAATGCATGTTGTCTCCGATGCTTCTAGAGTCATTTGGATGAAGGGCTGTTGATCTCCGCAGCTGGTGAGAAGTCCTCCCCCCACTGCCACCCCCACCCCAACGGCTCACGCTTGGTGGGTTGGTGGGGGAGAGTGTTGAGGCCGTTTGAAGATTCCAGGCCGGCTTGGTTATCTTCTCATGCTCTTAGCCTTTACAGTGAAAATCACAGACGACTCTCCTGCCAAATCACTAAATTAGCAAACTGATTAAATAACACGACTCCAAACGCTAGTTTACAGAGTCTGATTACAGAAGGCTCCAGCACGCCACCCCAAAGTGCAGTTAAGATTGCTCCCACAGTGTAACCTGGGGAATCAGGCATTTTCTCCATCAGCGAATCCATTAGCTCTGCCCGCCTCTTCTCGGCACACTTCTAGCGCTCCCAAAATTGCTTGGAGGTTTGGAGGTGAGCAATGCAAACATCTCAGGGTCTCCGATTCCCCCACCCCAGGCTCCTTCCCTCTCCCCGAGCTCTTTAAAAACTGTTTGTATAAAATATTTTGTGGAAGTTACCAACTTTCTGGTCATAGGAAAAGGAAACGAGACGAACTTTTCAGGTTTTAAAAACTCCTAAAGCACTTGGTGTGATGGAGCGTCATGGTTTGACTGTACCGTCTCCCCACAGGCTCATCAGTGTGCACACCGGTCCCCAGCTGGTGGCCCTATTTGGGGAGTTGTGGAACCTTTGAGAAGTAGGGTCTAGCTGGTGGAACTGACTCACGGGGTGGGGGGTGGGGGTGGGGGCAGATTTGTGGGAATTTCCAGGTTTTGTCTGACTCGTTGTTTTCTAGTTGGCTGTGTGATATGATCCTGTGCTCTCTCCAATATGGAGAGAACACCCTCCCTGCCATCCAAGGCTGAAGTTCCCTGGACCGGTGGGCAGTAACAAGTCCCCCTTTAAGCTGTTTCTGTTGGATATTTTGTTGCAGCAATGAGAAAAGTGGGTGACAGATGAACCAGACAGGTGGTGAGCAAAGAGCCCAAATGTGAGGGCAGCGAACACGTGCGTGCGTGCGTGCGTGCGTGCGTGCATCTGTGTGTGTGTGTGTGTGTGTGTGTGTGTGTGTGTGTGTGTGTGTGTGTGAAGCAGTTCCACCACAGGCTGCAGGTTATCTGACATAGGGACACCACTCACTGAGCTGTTTGCAACAAGGCATTGTGGAAGTTAATTTGCCTGTGTGGAAATGCTAACATGACGGGGCACACCTGGGCGACTTTTCCCTTGAGTATATACACCTGTGAGGTTCTTGATCACTCATGGGTGCCCACCTGGGTAACCACCTGAGCTGAGAATGGAGACTGCCGGGTATCAACTGTTAGTGAGGGTGTGCGTGTGCACCTGGTTTCTCATTATCTATTATGATGTAGACGTGATCTTGCTGGAGGAAGTATGGTACTGAGGGTGGGCTCCACCATTGTGGACTCGAAACCTCTGGAACTGTAAGCCCAAATAAACTCTTGCAAGTTGCCTTGGCTGTGGTGCTTTATCATAACAATAGAAAAGTAATGAATACACGCTCTCACTGAGCTCCACCAGCCCTGAAACTGTGTATTTGGTCAATATGATTGTATGGTATGCAAACACTGGCTGGCTGTTCAAACCCCGGCCCCTCGCATCTCTGATCACTGTTTTGCTTATGCTGAAGTGTGGGGCCAGGTGAGAGGTGCTGGTGTTTGTAACATTGTCATCCTGGGGTTCCTGTTCTTATAGCATAGCTCTCTTCCGGTCCCAGAGAGACCACACCAGACCCTGGGCCACCTGAATGCATTACCCTGTGACTCTAGATGTATGGGGTAGGTGACAGGAATGTAGGTAATGGAGACCGGCAGATACCACACAGCGTGGAGCCCAGCGCAGGGCCCAGGGCCTGTGCACTAAGAGCTCTTAAAGTGTGTATTCCTGTCCTTCGCTCAGCTTATGAGGACCCGGCATCTCTGGAAAACACAGATCAAAAGCCAGTCAAGTGGCATCTATGACAGGAGCAGCTGTGCCTAACCCGATTTTCCTAATTATCTTCTAAATGGGATGCATCCTCGGAGTCACAGAGGCTGTGTGCACTGCATACTAAGAGGCAGAGGACCGTGTCTGCGGAGATGGGAGCGAGGTTCTCTCTGCATCCATTTAGGTGTTGTCTTTGGACTAGATTAGTGTTTATGTTTGCTGAAGTCTGGCATTCTGGAAAGTCTGACTTGAGCCATATCAACAGAGAAGAAGCCAGCCAGCCAGGAGGGAGAGCTTGAAGGGTGAGAGGGGGAGAGAGGTCAACATTTTCCCTTTCTCTCTATAAGGAAAGGGCAAATTAAAGCATAGCCATCAAATAAGTGTGTGTGTGTGTGTGTGTTTATGGGGTTCACTGATGTGTGGGACACATGTACATATGTGACTCACATGTGGAAACCAGAGGTCAACCTTGGGTACCATTCCTTGGGACCTGTCCATCTTTTAAAACATCTTTAAGATTTTCTCCTTTATGTGTATGTACATGTGCACATGTGGGGATCTTCCCTTGGAGGCCAGGAGGGGAACATCAGATATCCTAGAGATGGAGTCATAGGAAGTTGTGAGCTTCCACGTAGGAGCTGGGAACCAAACTTAGGTCCTCTGCAAGAGCAGCAAATGATCTTAACTGCTGAGATGTCTCTGCAGCCCATCCATCCTTTTTTTTTTTTTTTTTAAGTTTTTTGAGACAGTATAGCTTTGGAGCCTATCCTGGAACTCACTCTGTAGCCCAGGCTGGCCTTGAACTCACAGAGATCTATCTGCCTGCCTCTGCCTCCTGAGTGCTGGGATTAAAGGCGTGCACCACCACCTGGCTTCGTCCATCTCTTTTGTTTGTTTGAAACAAGGTCTCCCACTCGGGTTGGGGATTTAGCTCGGTGGTAGAGCGCTTGCCTAGCAAGTGCAAGGCCCTGGGTTCGATCCTCAGCTCAAAAAAAAAAAAAATCTCCCACAGGGACCAGGGCTTACTGATGAATCTAGATAGGCTGATAGGTTGGCCAGTGAGTCCCCCTCCCCGCTCCCCAGGGCACCTTTGCCTTCTAAGTGGTGAGATTACAAGGATGTGCCTCCCCACACAGCTTTTAATATGAATGCTGGGGGATGAACTCAGGTCTTCACACTTGTGTAGCAAGCCATCTCCTCAGGCTCTAAGGATGCTTTCAGTTGCTACTAGTGACATTTATGGGATGAAAATCCATTTTTAACCATTGCAAGAGTCTCGAATTGTCTTCCAAACGGCATTTGACTAGGGAACCACCTCATCTTGCAGCAAGTGGTGCGTGAAAAATAGGCTGAGTGCGCAGCTCTCAGTCCAAGGGACTGCAAAAGGCATCCCTCACCAGGGAAGGGTGCTACAGACTTCACCATGGAGCCAGCACCCCAGACAGTGGATTCTGGTTTATGCAACTCTGATGCCAGGACCCCTCTGTTCTGTGTAGCCCATGTCAGTTTCCCTGACAACAAACATCCCTGTCTGTGGCTTCTTCTCTTGAAACAGAGGAGCTCCTGTCAGGAGCTGGAAGTCTCAGGCTTCTTCTTTATGATGTATGGCATTTAAAAAAAAAATCAAGAATAGGGCTGGAGCGCCAGCTCAGCACTTAAGAGTATATACAGCTTGTCTTGTTGCTTTTCTGTTGCTGTGACAAAACACTATGACCAAGGCAACTTATAAAAGACAACATAGGGGTTGGGGATTTAGCTCAGTGGTAGAGCGCTTGCTTAGCAAGCACAAGGCCCTGGGTTCGGTCCTCAGCTCCGGGGAAAATAAAATAAAAGACAACATAATCAGGGTTTATAGTTCAGAGGCTGAGCCCATGATAATCACAGTCACGGGAGCATGACAGCAGGCAGGCAAGCATGGCACTGGAGCAGGAGCTGAGAGCTTACGTCTAATCGACAAACATAACACACACACACACAGAGAGAGAGAGAGAGAGAGAGAGAGAGAGAGAGAGAGAGAGAGAGAGAGAGAGCTCTAACGGGAAATGGCATGGGATTTTGAAATCTCAAAGCCAGCTCCTGGTGACACACCTCCTCCAACAAGGCCACACCTCCTCATCCCTCCCAAACAGTTCCACCAGCTGGGGACCAAACATTCAAATGTATGAGTTTATGGTGGCCATTCTCATTTAAACCACCACACTGCTCCTGGAGAGGACCTGAATTTGGTTCCCAGAACTCATCCCACCTATAACTCCAGCTCCAGGGAATCCATACTTTCTTCTGGCTTCTAAGGCACCTGCACTCATGTCTACAAACCTGCACAGACATTCACACATATACACAATTAAAAACAAAATAACCCTTTTTAAAAAGGCAGGATTCACCTTGTCTCTACGGTATTCAAATTAGAAACTACCAATGGAATTGGAGACTTCTGTGTGCTTGCTGGTCACTGATGAAATAGTCTCATGACCTTTCGAGTCAGTGGCCCCTCCCTGTGCCCAGGACAGTCACTGATGCTTCAGTTTCCCACCTTGGCTGTCCTGCATTCTACCAGAACAGCCCTCTTCCATTTTCTTTCTGGTTCCCAGTTCCAAGTTCTTTCTCTCTTGCCCCATCCTGGCCAGCGTTCTTCCCTCTGGGGTGCTCTGGGGCCTCACGAAACAGTGTAAGTGTCTTCTGTGTGCTCCTCTAAGTGGAACAGATTCTTAGAAGCCACAGAAGCCAGAGGCGTGACAGTCTGTTTCCAGGTCTCATCTCAGGTCCCAAAGTCTCTGCCCTGCTCGGCTCTGTCCCCCTCTCATGGGAGTATCAGTAACTACATTGATCTGTCAGTGTTCTCCCCAGCTTGAGATTTCCTCTTGAGATGGAGATGCCTTCAAGACCCCTCTTTACCTTCCCATCCCTAACCCTGGCATGCACTCTGCAAGGTTTGCCAATTTATCTTTGAAAGTTCCCTCCTCTCGGCCCCCTTCCATCTGCCACGCCCTCGTCACGGATATTAGTTGTCTTACCTGTTGCAGATGCAACTTAAGGTTTATTTTGGCTTGCAGTTTGAAGGTATGACATCCATCAAGGAGGGGCAGGCGCAGTGGTAGGAGTGTGCGGCCGCTGTTGAGAGTACAATATTGTTAGTACAATAACAGTCAGAAAGCAGAGAGAGATGAATGCTGCTACTCAGTTCCCTTTCTCCTTCTATTAGTCAGGGTTCTCTAGAGCAGTGGCTCTCAACCTCCTCATCCTGCAACCCTTTATTATTTTTTTAATTAATTTTTTTTTTGGGGGGGCGGTTCGAGACAGGGTTTCTCTGTGTAGCTTTG